GGGTGGGGGCTGCGGGTCCTGCTGAGGCTGGAGGCATGTGGTGGAGGGGGGGTTGGTGATAAAGCTGGGATGGGGGTCTGAGGATTAAGGCAATGATAGGAACCACAGGGTGTTTGAGAGTGGGGTGGAGAGCACCAAAGGGGTGTTTTTTCCTTAAGATGGAAATGAATTACCTGCCCCTAGCACATGCTGGTAGGGATGCAGGTTTCTAAAGCTGAGATGCTGCTTTCCCTTTGCCATCTGTGTTTGGCCACTGTGGTGGCCCTGAGCCATGCTTGAGCTCTTGTGCGGCTACTTGAGAAGCTTTGCAAATGAAATGGGTGCAAATAAGAGGTGGTGGTACCAGCTGGAGTGTAAGCCAGGTTAAACCAGGAGTCACTAGATAGACATTTAGGGGTTCAATACTGGATTGTTTCAGTGCTAGGGAGCTTGGATCAATACTGAGCCCTTAAACCTGCCACCTTCCTGTTTACACCTATGTGAAATCAGTGGTGGGCTGCTCATCAGGCTGTCGGAGTCATGCGTGGGGCAATGCAGGTGTTGGTCAGACACAGGATCCAGTTTTCTGTGTGGTTTTGGGCTGAGGAGGCTTATGTTTCTGATTATGGTTCCTTAGTCTTTTCATTTAATCATATTTTTGGTTCAGTCTACATTTAAATGTCAAGCCAATGCTTAAAGCATTAAGCATTGCCAGAGCTTCTGGAGAAATTCCTCTTATTTTGTCTCTTGTTTGCTGGGGTTGAAACAGGAGCCTTTTGCTGTCAGCTTGAACGCCTCTCACCTGTGTCCACCTCAGCAAGTGCTAGGCACAGAAGGGTAGTAAGGAGGGGGCAATCTGATGTAGATTTTCTCCTAAAAATACAAGGACATCCGTGGTGTTGTAATTTATCTTGGCTCTCTCCGACTTAGATTTGTGTACAAGAAGCTGGCATTTTCTTGAGTTATTTTAAAACATTGCTATTTGTATATCTGGGCTGTTTTGCTTTCGGCCTTCATCTGGGACTTGCTGTAAACCACGCTGGGTTTGCTTAGTCGATGAGATAATAGTACTAGCAAGCTGTCTCTGGACAATGTGCAAAGCAAGCTCTGATATACAGGAAGCAAAAATCTGTGTGCTAATGAGAAAGAGCTTCCTCCTGTGTTAGACTTGGAATACTGTGGTAGTTTGCTTTTTGACCTAAGTCAGATCTCGTTTACATCTATGAAGACAGATTGTAAATACACATGCTGCATTTAGCCTTACCTGAATCTGAGTGTTTCTAGGATTCTTCATGTTTTCAAGTGAACTGAAATTAGGAAAACAGTGAAATGTCCAGCTTTGGGGTTTAAAGATCATCTCTGAAATTCAGCAAGGTTTCTTTGTGTAGCTTTATGCAACTGGGATGATGGGTATGATTTTTTTTGTTCTTTCCTTCCTGGATTTTCTCTATAATCTGCTGCTCTGGCCACTGTTAAAATAATACTGGACTAGCTCAGCTGGGAGGTATGACCCAGGTTGACAAATCCACATATAATGCAAACAGTGAATGGCAAGGCTGTGTTCAATGCCTTTTGCATGGCACCATGCCAGATGCTCTTGTAGAGGAAAACATTTAAGTCATCTTTTAAGCTGAGCTCAAATCCGAAGGATTGTGTTGGCAATAACACCGCAGCTGAATGCGGGCTGTGTTTTTAATTATAAAACAAGACCCACAACAGCTTTTTCTTTTGTGATGCTGTGACTACTTTCTTTTGCTGGAAAGATTGCAGTGTTGTGGCTCATGCAGCTTTCCCAACCCAGCCACTGCTTTAGAAGGAGGGCAAACATCTCCTGCAGGAGGAATGTGCTTCCAGAGCTGTCCCCAGGCGTAGTTTGATCTTCAGCTTGGCAGGAGCAGAAAGGGAGAGAAATCAAACCAAACCCAGTAATATTGCCTAATTGGGATGAGGCGGTAACCACGCAGGGACAGGGCAGGCAGGAGCTCTGGGGAACTGGGCTGAGCAACAGGTTGTTTCTCATCTGGCTGCTTGGCAGTTGGACAAGATTACAACTGCTCTGCATTACCATGCTGTAGAGCATGTTGAAGGTGGTAGAAATTGTGGCGTTATCCCTTGGCTGCTGCTGGGAATTTAACTGCTGAGGTATTAAATTGATTAAGGTGGATAGGTGGATAAAGAATGGTAGTGGTGTGGGGTTGGTTGAGGGATGAGGAAGGAAAGTGTTAAGAAACAGCAGGCTGGTTGCACTGCTGGGCAATGTCATGGAGTTCAGAGCTGTGCTTGTCCTTTTGTTGCTGAGCCAACAAGACCTTTGAGGAAAGACAGGCAGCGTTTAGGGAACAGATGACTTGCTGCTTTGCTGGTAGCATTTAAGGTCATGGAAATATGTACAAGAGAAGGGGAACTGGGCCAAAAAAAAAAAAAAAAGAAAAAAGAAAAAGGAGGGGGGAAGGTAGGAAAACCCTTTTTTGGGATGGTTTTAGGGTCATAGGTTCTTAGCACTGATGCATACCTTTCATCAAAACCAGTAAAACTGCCCACTCCTATGCTTGTTTTTCAGCCAGTACTTGAAAATTGTTTGAGTCATATTTGTCAGAGAGCTGGCAATTGTAAGAATAAAATGATGGATATCCACATATGTTTGGGCAACCTCTGTACTCTAAGTTATTAATAATTTGGTTCTGTGGAGCAAGAAAAATGCTGGTGAGACCATTCTTACAGCTCTGCTAAGCACTTGCTGGCCCAGCAGCATTTTTTGGCCCTATGCAAGAAAATGCAGTGCAGCCCTGAGATAAGCATGTGTGTGTCAGCGGTGGGATGTCAGGTCTTGCAGAGAAAGATTTCCATTCCAAGCTTGAAAAAACTGAAAAGTAATGGCTTTTATTTTCAAAAAGCTGCTTTGCATCTCCCCGGAACAAAAGAAGAAAAGAAAGGGCCTCGGGGTGGGTATTGCAAGTAGGGTTAATTGTTCCTTCCATCAAGATGCAACACAGGGAAGTATCGTTAGGGGGAGTTGACAGTTTCCTTTGTCTGAAACACGGATTTCTCGCTTCCAATCGAGATATATTAAATGTGCAGTGCTTTTTTTTTTTTTTATTTGAAAACGGAATTCTGTACCCAGAGGAAAGACAGCTACAGAACGTATCAAGATCTGCTGATTATAAGGAGTTAAAAACGCCTTTTCTGAGATTGAGAGTTTAAAAAGCTGGGCTGAGCACCGCTGCTTTTTCCAGCCTGCCCGCCTCAGGCTGTTGTGTTTTCACTAACATTGTTCATCTGAGCCCTTTAAATCCGTGGGTTTGCCAAGTAATATCAGCAGCAGGTGCAGAATGAAGATTGTGAAACTTGTGCCTGTGGATGTAAAGCGTTTGCTTCTTCCCTTACATTATGTGCTCACCAGACGTCCGTTCTCTAAATTCCTGCCTTGCAAACTGGGTGTTGTCAGCACCAAATGCTGTTTGACTACTTGTTCTTTTTTTATTATTATTCTCAGGTATTTTAAGGAACTGGAACCATGACGGACTCCAAATACTTCACGACCAATAAAAAAGGTTAGTGTTAAGCTGGTGCAGTGGATTGAAGGTGGTGGGTGGCTATTTTTGCACAGCTTTAACTGCATGCAGAAGGACTTGTGCCTTTCTGTTAGCTCTGTCCCTGTTTCTCGTCTTAATCATCCAGGGAGAAACTTTGCAAGTAGGCCACATGGTGACAGAAGACAAAACTGATGTATTATATGGTTTTGTGATGCACAAAATGACCCAAATTGCTGCTTTTTCAGGGATCAGAGAACAAAACATTGGGTTTTCAGCACCAATCTGGTCAGAGATAAAGTTTTAGTTACGGGCTAACAAGTTCAAGACTGAGGATGATTGTTCTGTTGGGCATCACAGGATTGAGTGAGAGACATGTAATATTTAAGGTGTAAGTGTGCATCAAACTCATGCAAAGATAATGGGATTTCCTGTTGCCATTTCCTGCAAAGCTACAGTGCTCTGTTTGACTTTCCCTTGGCTTTACTGTAGGTGTGGTGGTCACGTCACCTCAGGACAAACTGATGCCCTTAAAAATGGGAAGACTGGAAGGCATCTTTGAGGACATCTTACTCATTTTCCTCTTCCATAGCAGGACTTGTTCTGTTGTAACTGTCCCAGGCAGATTTTATTTTCTAACCTGTTCTTAAACATAATGCTGTTGCTGACTGCAATTTGAGCCTGATGTTGCTCATCCTTCTCCAGCAGATGTGGAATGAACCTCTCCTTTGCAGAATAGCTGAGTGTTTCTGGCGAATGCTTGCCGGTGAAAAAATTACAGTGTTTCTCTATTTGTGTTTCATTAAGCTTCATAATGAGCTCATAAATTAAGCAAATGCAATTCGCATCTTTCTAATGAACAACTGTCTATAAGTTCAGTCTTAAAGGCAGATTTTTCTGGGATGGCTGCAGTAGGCCAGCCTGCACTGTCTGAGCTCTAGTGAGCATGCTGCTGCTGGCTCAGCTTTGCTCGGGGTCAGTGTGAGTGACCCCAGCATCTCTTTCCCAGGCAGGAGGTAAGGTGAGTGGTCACTGCACTGTGTTCTTCAGAACAGTACATTCTCTTCCCTTTTGAATTACTTGTTAATCTTTTTGTGTCAAGAGTCGTCAGTAATTAGCGCGGCTGATCTGACAAAGTGGCATTGGTGTGTAGGAATTGAAGGTTAGGGTCTAGAATGTATTTTGTCAGAGATTTTGATATTTGTAATGTGTCCTCAGCCTGTGGCTTCCAGTAGGAATACTGCTCACTGCCCTTCCTGGAGAAAGCTGTCTGTTGGTTGGGAACATTCTCCTTTCTCACACCACTTGCTCTGTCTGGGACAGGCCTGATAAGCAGTCTTTTGCACGTGTGGCTTTGTTTTGCAAACTTGCTTTTGCCACTTTTGTAATCCAGCCTGAACTAACTTTCCATGCAGTAATATCTGGAAGAGTTAGT